GGGACAGAGCGATGATCCAGGCCTGAACCATGGCCACCAAGGGTTGAGGTAGGCCCTCCCTTCTGGCCTGGTGACCAAGGGACCCTGAGCTTCGGCCTGATCCCAAGCTGTTCTGTGGTTCTGCAGGTGTGTGGTGGCCTGGGCGAGGAAGGCCAGCTCACAGGAGAGTAGAACAGGACTCCGGAGATCATGGCCCATCTGCCCGCAGAGCTGCGTCTTCTGGAGCAGGACTGTGTTGGGGAGGGCAGGAAGCAGAAAGGCTGGAGCCAGCGAGGGAACGGTGACTCCTCCAGGGTCCAGATTTGGCTGTGACATTCTGGGTTCCATTGGGGTCCCTGAGGGCCCAGCCGTGTCTTCACTGTGCTCAGCCCGAGGCAGGGGCTGCACTCTGATCTGGGCCCGGCACAGATGCGAGGGGATAGGGGGCTCCAGCTGCAGAGCCTGGATTGCTGGGGCTGGGCTCGGGCAGGTGGGGGGGCTGGCGGGGGCCGGGATGCCCAGGTCCCAGGCAGGCTTCATCTGAGCACCAGGGCGGGAGTCTGAACGATCAGCAACATTTACTCCTGGACTGGTCTTCTGGTGAGAGCTTGATGGAGTCTGTGAGGTAGTTCTCTAAGATGCTGCGATACTGGGGAGGGAAAAGAGAAGCCAGAGCTCACATCCTGAGAGGTAAAGCGCCTCACCTGCCTTCGGTCTCATACTGGCTCCTGGTGGTTGGGCTTTTTATTCCTTCCCTAATGCTTTGGGAGGAAGCGGAGATCCAGGTGGAGCGGGGTGGGGGGGCAGGCACTGGTCTTCCCCACCCTCTTCTTTCCTCCCCTTCTCCTCCAGCTTCTTCCCTGGAGCCCAGAGCAGGTGGACGGCATGAGTCTCCTGACCTCCAACGAGGTCCCACAACTCTCCATTCTCCAGAGGGAGAAACCGAGGTGACATCGGACCTCAGGCAGACATGACAACCCACTCCTTCTTTCTGCTGGAGACCTCTCCTCACAAACACCCACCACGTCTGCCTCCCAGCCTCCCCCACCGCCGCCAGGGCACCTGGAGGGGCCCAGTCAGTCCTCGGCCCTTCCCATGGCCTCTGTCCTCCCTAAAACAGACTCAGCGCTTCCGAGGGGCCTGTTTGCTTCTCCGCTCACCTTCCCAAACCCTTGGGTCCCAACAATGTCCAGAGAAAGCCTCTCCCAACCCAGCGGGCTGCTTCTCTCCCAGGACCCACCCTGCTTGGCTTGGGGTGAGGGAGGCGTGGGGCAAGGGGACCCTTCCTCCAGGAGATGAATTCAAGGGTGAAAGGGTCTCTACTTACAGGGACCCCACCTCTTTACTCTGCCAGGCTCTCACCAGTCACCAGGCTTAGGCGTCCGAGCCCGCACCACTGGTACTGCGTGTGTGAGCGTGCGAGTGGGCGAGGGCCTCTGGCTGCCTTGGCGTGGACCCGAGCAGCCCCCGTCGCTACTGGTGAAATGTCACAGCCCTTAACGCTGTGGCCCTGGGTCCCAGGAGGTGGTGTCAGGACTCCCCTGCTGCGCCCTGAGACACAGAAGATGGTCCCCTGATGCCCCATGACTCACTGCCACCCCCGGACAGCGTGGTCATTTAGCCTGACGTGCAGAGCCGGGATCCGGCCCTTTCCCACGTAGTTTGTTTCTTGAGAGCTCTTGTCCCTCAGCCCTCCCACGGAGGGTCTCACGGGGCCTTCGTCAGCCTGGGTATCCCTGGACAGATTATTTAGAGTTATTAGAATGTATATAATATAATAATAACAACGATAATAATTTTAACAGGAAGGATTAGTGCTGGGGGTGAGGGGCTGTGTTTGCTCCGCAAGGGGTCCATCACTCTGGAGATGTCTCCACACCCCAGATCGGTCTCCCCCGGCCGCGGAGGATGCCTCGCTTGACCCAGGGCTATCCCAGGCCTTCCCCAGCTCCCTGAGAGAGAACCCCACTGGAGGTGTCTGAAAAGAGGAAATGGGGCCGGGTGGCTCCTTCTCGCCAGCACCATGCAGCCTGGCGTGCGGGCTCCGGCCCGGGCAGCCCTGCGTGTGTCCAGTCCTCCCGCTGGCCCTTTCTGCTGGGTGCGGGGTCCTCTCACGCCACGGAGCGAATGTGACCATCCTGACATTTCCAAACCTCCCTGCGAGGGCTGAGGAAGAGCACAGCGTCCCTGACTGAGGCCCCCATTACACCGAGAGAGCCGGCTGTCCCTGAGAGGAAGGTTTCGGAAGGATTCTCCTATTGTCTGGTGTTTTCTGGGTCCCTCCGTCATCATGAAAGCCCGAGACCTTGGCTGGGATCTGGAACTTTCCTAATCGGATCTTCGGACCCAGGTGGCAGGGCCTGCTGGTTCATCCCCCCCAAGTGTGCCCCACCCTCATGTCCATGCAAGGCCCCGATGGGACCCCAGAGCCCCTCGTGACCAGAAGCCTGTGCCACTGTCCACAACACCAGCCTCTGGGGAAGGAGACTGGGTGTACCCGGAGGGGCTGCGGCCGGGCATTCTGGCTCCTTTGCATTTTATTCTAGAGTCAACCGGATCACAGGAAGGTGTGAGAAACCTCCTCATTCATTACACTGGCAAAGCCTGAGGTCTTCACACCAGCCTTCTTCACCCAGTAATAGTCACACCTCCCCAGGTCCGTGTCACCAGAGTGCTTCCCATTTCTGACATCATTTCCGTGCCCTTGGCAATGTGTGCGTCTAACTGGAAAGTCACACAGTACCATCCTCACGCATGCACCTGTGGGCCCAAGTGCTGTGACTGACTGTGGCATCTGTCCTTGCAAGCCTGGTTACCGATATGGCCCTGCCTTTAGATCCTGCCTCTGGGGGACCTCAGAAAGGTCCTGCCCCTTCACCAAGCTTACTTGCTCACCAGCCAGCCTGCTTCCCCTCCTGGACGTGGCGATTGTGCCTTTCTCCTGTTAGCTTAGAAGGAACTGGGCCTCCAGGCTGCAGGTCACACCACGGGGGCCAGGCCTGACCGCTCCCAGCCCAGAGAGAGTGCCAAGTTGGTAAGAGCAACCTCTCATCATCCCAGATCCCCTGAAGCAAGCAGTGTCCCTTCTTGGATCCCAAGGGCATTCTTAATCATCTTCTGGAATAACTAAGTAGCCCCATCCTTGGAAGTGGCCAGATCAGGGTACTGAAGTACCTACCATCTTTCCTTTCAAAATGTTAGCCACGGATCTATTCTGGTGTTGAACTCACAAATCACTTTCCAACCAGAGTTTGCTGCAGAACTCAGATGTTTTGGGGGACCATGAGTGTGTCATGTGCCCCAGTGGGCCGCAGCACTCCCTCCTCTAGATGCTTGTGTTTTCCCCTCTCTTCTCTAGCTTGGTCCCTAGCGTTGTACGCAATCCTGCCTCCAATGGCCAAGCTGGGAACCTGGTCTTCGACTTAAAACAGCTACTGGTTCCTTCTCTCCTACATCCATCATCAACCGCTGAGGCTCTCCCTCCAAAGTCCGCTGAATCCACCCAGTCCTGCCACCGCCAATCAGTCATGCTTGGACTGTTGCAGTACCTTCTCATCTGCCCCTGGGGCCCGTCCTCCACGAAGCAGGGAACTCCCCTGGCGGAAACCCTTACGCAGAGCTCCTGTTTTAAAAAAACAGCTACCTTCTGTTCAATGCCTTCTCTCTACGATGAATTGCTTTCTTCGGCCCTTGCTACAACCCCAGTAGAAAGATATTATTATTTTTACTTTAAAGAGACAGAAGTGGTGGCTGACGGAGGCTGCATGACTTGCTTTAGGACACACAGTTAAGAGGTAGAGTCTGGCCTTAACATCAGATGCACTGGGCTTTGGAGCCCCAGCCTGGGGCTTCCCTCCCCATCCACCCCTCATTATCTCCCTCTCAAACCCTCCACCACCTCCCTGGGAAGGAGAGAAAAGCCCTTGGTAGAAAATGTCTTTGAAAACATGTTTGACCTTAATTAAACTAGAAATGTGCAATCTCCAGTTTCACTTTAAACATCCATGGGAATTTTAGATTCTACGCTCTAGTAATTATGTTTGTTTCATTTTAATGTGAAAATATTTCTCCTTCCAGTTTCTGAGTAAAGGACACGCCTGGTGGGGTGTCAAGGTGCTGGGTGAGCCCCACGTGCCTCGGGTCCAGTGGCGCGGTCTGGACAGCCCGCACCCGCAGCGTGAATTTCAAGTCCCTCTTGGGGCTCTCCAGGACCTCATGATCCGTGCTGTTGACCTTGGGGATCTTCCTTGCTTGAACCACACCCCTTCATGCCATGCTTCCTTCTACAGACCGACCCACAGTTGGTTCCTCATGTGAGCCCTGTGGGTTGGTCCCTGCGCCTCTGGCCATGCCCCTCTCTCCGTCCTTCTCCTGCGCTCCCCCGCCACATGTCCACCAGCAAACTGCGTATTGTCTTTCAACACCCAGGTCACATGCCGCTTTTGTAGACAGCATCCCCACCGCCCCCCCTTGCCACCAGCCAGCCTGCACTGAGTCATCTCTGTGCCTTGACCTTGCTCCCTTTGGGGCACGTAGCTCTATGACAGCCTGTCTATGAACGTCTTACTCCCTTACCTGACCTCAGAGCCCCTGAGGTCCCTAGCTCCAGCCCTAGCCTTTGAACTCAATCAATGTTTCTGGGATTGCATGATTTCCATTTTACAGACGAGGAAACTGAGGCCCAGAGAGTCCCATGTCTTGCCCAGGGGTCCACTTAGAAGCACCAGGGCGGGATTCGAACGTAGGTCAGTCTGACTGTGGACACCGTACTTGCGACTTCCAGACTTCTCATTGGTAAGTTTCCGCCATCGACATGAGGGACTGACCTGGGCTTGCTAAGCCATTCTCTCACCAGGTAGGATATTAAAACAACAACAACAACATCATCAGTAGAGAACTTCATAAAGTGGGCACAGCAAGAAAGACGTAACTTTAAGAAAAAAGGACACTCCTTCTTCAGAAAGGGCGGATGCCGGCCACACACAGACACGGGCTGCGGGCAGATGGCGCTTCCCCGTGACTCAGCATTTGGCAACCATTGCACAGTGTTTGCGGAGAATCAGAGCGCCATACAAGGTCAGACAACATTCCTCCGCTTTCCAGCGGAACGGCATGAGCAGGCACAGCTGTGGGTTAAGAGCCAACGTTGCGGACTGTGTCATAAAACCACACCTCTCGATCATGCGCTAGAGACGGACGCCCCCAGCTTCCTTTAACACAAGGCAGCAGGGGCTGGGGGCTGGGAGGGGAAGCACAAAGAGAACCTGTGGGGGCAAACCCCGGGATGAAGGCTTGGAGATGTCCGGGTGGCACACTCGGGGTGTCTCCCCAGGTGGGTGGCCGCTAGGAAGGGGTTGCTGCCTCTCTCTGCTGGTCGACGCCCCCAGGCAGGGCCTCGGGGCCAGGCAGCTGGTCACCCACGACATCGGCAGGCTCCTCCATGGAGTGGAAACCCTCCATCTCTTGTGCTCCTTTCCTCAATTCAAAATCATTGCTGCCATGAGCTTCTCCCTTCTTCTGAGAAGCCCACCCTGATTACATGCGGCAGACTGATGAGGCAAGCCGATCCCTTCCCTGTGCTGATCACTCAGGAACCCTCCTCTGAGTTTCCAGACTCCGTATCGGAAGGGGCTGAAAACCCTGCTCCTGTCTTCCCTGATCTTCCCCCCCCTCCCCGTCCCCCACAGCTGGGGTGCGCGCCGCTTCTCAGGACCCCCCACTAAATCCTTTCCCAGCACACACCTGTACTGTGACCATGCGTGGGCCTATCAGACTGCCTCCAGAGAGCAAGGGGCCCTGAGCCTTCACACTGCCCCGCACAGATGCACACTCAACACGGGGTCCACAGCTACCCGGCTGTTTGACTGGAGCATGTCAGCAACTGCCGCAGACTCGATCTCCCCCTGGACAGATGCTTGGGCCTGTGGGGCTTCTCTCCCACCAGCCCGGATTGAGCTAGATCATCTTTCGCAAACCCTTACTGCGTGAGCATGTCCAGGGGTGAGGGGCAGAACCGTCTGTTTCAGAAACTGTATATATGATACTCCGCTAGACGGAGGAACACCAGCTCTCCCCGCAAGGGAGCCTCATACTTCTGACCTTCTGGGGCTCAGAATCAGGGTATGGCTGAGCCCACTGTGTAACTCATTAGGACGACGAGCAAGCCTGTCCTACCCACGGCCCTACACGCACCCAGTGTATTCTCTGGAAGCTCCCGAGTTTCTCATCCTCGGGGGGCGGTCCTGGAGGTACTGTCCCCATAGCCACTCACCCTGGACAGAGCCCGGCTGGCCAGCATCTCAAAGGCTTGTACCACGTTGATGTCATTCTTGGCACTGACTTCAAAGTAGGGGATGTCCTTCTCTTTACACCAGCCTTGGGCTACCTCCTGGGGCACCTGAATGAGGAAGACGTGATCACTGACCCTGTATCATCACTGCCACCATCTCCACCATCGTCATATTGCCCACCACCATATCCCCACCTCCGCTCCCATTTATCAAGAATTTTTCATGTTTCCAAAACTTGACATGCACTCTTTAAAAACAAACAAACCAACAAAACTTATTTCAGAGAGAGAGAGAGAGAGAAAGCACAAGCAGGGAATGCTGCAGAGGGAGAGAGAGAAGCAAGCTCCTTGCTGGGCGGAGAGCCCGATGTGGGGCTCGATGCCAGGACCCTGGGATCATGACCCGAGCTAAAGGCAGCCACTTAACCAACTGAGCCGCCCAGGTGCCCTGCCCCTACATACATTCTTTCTTAACATAAATCTATGAGGTGGTTACTGTTAGCTCCATTTTCCAGATGGGGAAACTGAGGTCCGTGCTCAGAGTGTATAGGGTTGAGCAGGACTTGAGCACAGACCTGGAGAAGAATTAGCACTCACTGTACTATATTGCCTTCCTAAGGCTCACACTAGGCACTTCTTCCTGCCGTTGGCTCCTCCTCCTGTCACTTCAAAAGGAGAAGAACACTGCAGACACTAGCTGGCGGACTATGGCCTGTGCCCAAGAGGTCTGCTGCTGAGGACAGACTCAGGTCCTTGCTAACCCTTCTTCCCCAGGGTGGAGTCCTAGAACAGTGGGTAAGCCGCTTCTATTCGCTGGATGTCTTGTCCCATTAATTCATTCAGTCCCGCCCGTGACCTTGTGAGATGGGTCTTATCAGCTCCACTTTATAGATAAGAACGCAGAGGCTCAGAGGGGTTTAGCAACTTGCCTCAGGTCACACAGCTAAGAAGGCAGAGCAGGAAGGCAGCCCAGCTCAGGGCTCCAGTGACATCAGGGCCGCCCTCTGTAGGGCACCGCATGAGGACCGTGTCTCTCCTGCCTCCCCCGCTAGACCACTGGCTCCTGGAGCTCCGGCTCAAGGTCTTTTCAGCTACTGACCTGGCACCATGGGCCACTCAGTGCGGGTGGAACGAGTACATCTCTCCCTGACTGCAAACGGCCCATCAGGGTTTGAGCGTGTTGGAAAGCGTCCAGCAGCCCTGCGAATTCCTCCCAAAGACAATTGGAGCCATTCAGTTTAACGTCGAATTATTTCCGGGAGGAGGAAATGGCCATATAGCGAACATTTGCTGTGCTTGGTACTTTGAAACCATGATTTCATTTTACTTAAGAGAGCAGGGTTTTTATCATGGAGAAAGGATATTCTGCCTCTCTCCCAGAAGACAGTGCAGCTGGGGGAAATCAGAGACGGCCTCCCTTACCCCTGCATGTCCTAGCAACGACTGTCTCACTGGGATTAAATAAAGGAAGGATCCCTGTCCCCTGTCTCTTTGGTTCTTGCTTCCCTGGGTCTCGGGCGTGATGGCGGCACCGGGGACTCACAGCGGTCTCTCCCAGTGCCTCTGCTCACACCAGCATCGCCCGGCGATGGGAGGTTACCACCTGAGACTGGAGGGTGCAAAGCTTGGGGTCAGCCAAGCAGCCTATCCTTTGGGGTGCTAGCAGATGCCTCCACACCCCGTGCCCAGGTCCTGGGGAGAAACCCTAGGCCTTGGTCTTGGCATCTGATCTCTGAGACCCTCCTGCCTTTATGGGGAGGACCCCAGAACTGGCCCGGACTGCTTCCTTCCACGGAGCACCGAAGCCCAAGTCCTGGTGAGCAACCAAGAAGACTCACAGTTCAGGAACATTCTGAACTCTTTGGAGGAAGGGTCAAGGGTGCCCGGTGATTTGTAGTGTCCTCACCAGTAACCACATATAAATAGGCCTGAGGAGCTCATCGTCGTACCTGGATGGCTCCTTAGTAACGCGAAGGGCTTCCTGCCTTGCGAAGTCCTCCCGCGCGAGGACGGGACTGACACTCCTTACCGTGCCTTCCTGCTTTCCTTCTTTCTGTCCAGCCCCCCGGCTCCCTCGCCCAACCCTCTGCCCCCGCAGGCGATGAGCGTTTGACAAGATACACCACTGATACGCAGGAGACAGATGCAGTAAAAACTGAAGTCAAGTGAAAAGAAGTCAAGGCCTCCGCTTCTCCAGGATACAGGGACATCTCTTGTATTTCGTGGCATGAGACACAGAAGCCAGGATGAGTGCCCACGGGCTCAGCAACCACAGAGCTGGGACGGCAACCCTGCAACGCAGCGGCAACCCACTTGGCTCGGCTCCCTCCTCTTTCCCCCGCTAGACGCTGGACCGAGACAGTGACAGGGTCCATCTCATGCCTGGTTCTAACAGGCATTTTATCTTGTGTGCCCCCGATCTTACTCTGTTGGGTTGATACCGAACAGTTAAATACACGCTCCAAAACGTCAGCTGAGATTATGTCATAAATTAACCTTCTTGGGGTGCCTGGGTTTGGCTCAAGTCATGACCTCAGGGTCCTGGGATCGAGCCCCATACCAGGCTCCCTGCTCCGCGGGGACTCTGCTGCTTCCTCTGCCTCTCACTCACTCGTGCTCGCGCTCTTTCTCAAAAAACCAAAAACAAAAAAAACAAAAACAAAAAAACCCTAAAAAAGGTCCCTTCCCCTCCCCTTCTCAAACTCAGTGAGCCGGCCTGGGAACAAAGCCTCCCAGACACACCTTTCACTACTGGCTTCCAGCTCTTGCTGTGGTTTCATGATTGTTTCAATCATCTTGTCTTTTATTTATAAAATGACAGTTCTTTATACTCTAGGCTCGGACTGTGGAAATGAATTCAGGGTGTGCTGCTTGGGGACTTGGGAAATAGGAAATTTTTTTTTTTTTTTTTAAAGATTTTATTTATTTATTTGTCAGAGAGAGAGAGGGAGAGAGAGCGAGCACAGGCAGACAGAATGGCAGGCAGAGGCAGAGGGAGAAGCAGGCTCCCCGACGAGCAAGGAGCCCAACGCGGGACTCGATCCCAGGACGCTGGGATCATGACCTGAGCCGAAGGCAGCTGCTCAACCAACTGAGCCACCCAGGCGTCCCAGGAAATAGGAAATTTTTGAAAGCATTACTTTGGTTAACTTTGCTTTTGTCTGACAATATATACTGTTAACATATTTCTTCTGCTACAATCTTGTTTGTCAGAGAGCAAATGTTTTGACAAATCTAGCTCAGTCTGCATAGTTTTATGTATGACGCCTTTCCATCTCGTAAGCATTTTATTTATTTTATTAAATATTTTATTTATTTGATAGAGAGGGAACACAAGCAGGGGGATTGGGAGAGGGAGAAGCAGACATCCCACTGAGCAGGGAGCCTGATGCGGGGCTCTATCCCAGGACCCCAGGATTATGACCTGAGCCAAAGGCAGATGCTTAACAACTGAGCTACCCAGGCACCCCTAGTACGCATTTTAAACGACCAATTGTATAAATGTTAACAGTGTGTCAGATACATCTCAAACCACTAGCAAAAATAAGAGAGAGTATTTTCAGAAAATAGAATTCCCATGTTGGTGATGAGTCAGAAATTGCCTACCTGGGCACAGAGCAAAGAATTCACATTCTGGTGAATAAATTCCTTGTAAGGATGGATGCTAGTGGAGCTGTTCTTTCTACCAAACTGGTATTTTTCCACTATGACCTTCTATAGCAGGAATAAGGTTTTGTTTTTTTAAGTCAACAAATCTCTCTAAAATCATCCTGGTGGTAAATATATGTATATATGATACATACATATATAACACATATGTGTTTTATTGTGGTAACATACACAGCATCTTCATAAACATAAAATTTACCATTTTAACTATATTTTAGGGCACAGTTCGGTGGCATTAAGCACATTCCTGTTGTGGGTAGGAATGGATGGGTATCACTCCCACCCATCCCCAGAACTTTTTCCTCATCCTAAATCTAGCAATACAGTTTTAAACATTTACTTCCTTTTTATTAAGTGGGAAAAACTCCCGTGTTTTCTCAGCCCATCGGTCGGAGGAAGTAAGAGGGAGGCTGACAACGGCTTTGGTGTATTATGATCCTCACGTGCCTTATGGTGCCACTTCCTTCAAGCCCCAGGCCAGCTCCTGAGGTCTGCGTCTGGGCTCCCTGTCCCCCGGATTTGAGCCCAGAGAAGGCGCTTCTTCAGAGGGCCCCTGGCTCTTAGCCGCTCAGCCCCATGCAAGTGAGAGCGCAGAGCACGTCTCAGCCGGCCTTTTCTGTCCCCAAACCCTCTGCGAAGCTGGAGCGGAACAAGGACACTGAGGGGCAGCGGCTTCCCAGCCTCCCTCTCCTCACTCACGGTTCCTCCTCTCCACTTCCCTGCCCGCATTTCATTATTGCCCAGTGCTTCCCCACCTCCAGCCTCTGCCTCCCTCCGCAGACGCGCTCCCCAGGGCTTGCCGGTGGACAGACCGACTCCCCTCCCCCGCCCTCTTCCAGGGTTCTCTCTCACTTCCCCACCTTGGCTGAGCCCCGGCTTCTCCTGGAGTCTCTGTTCCGCCTGTCACCCTCACCAGAGGGGGGCTATCTCCAAAGGACGCTCACCAGAGACCCCAGAGAGGGGGATGGGCTTGCCTGGGGCCTCTCTGCTTCTTTCAAGTCTCTATGTTTCCTCTCTCTGCAGAGCGAAGACATCCTCCGCCCGTGAGGCTTGGACAGACACCCCTCCACCCCTCGGATCATCACCCGTTCTTTCTATCCGGCTTGCTGCCATCCTGACCCCCGTCGCCCGCGCCTCCCAGGGCAGCCTCGCCATCCCTGCCCCTCCAGCAGAACACGGACTGCATCTTCTCTCCAGCTCAGCCTCCTCTTCCCAGGTCTTGACTCAGGGGACCTCTGTCAAATATTGAATCTGGCCTCCCATTCTGCGACACAGTCTCCTGCCCTTCAACCTCCTCCCACCCTCCCCCTTTCTGCCCTGCCCTTCGGCCTTGGACACCGCAGCTGTCGGCTCCTTCAAACCTCTCCTCGGCTCTCTTCTTCCCTTGGGGGCTTGTCCATGCCCCCACATCGCTACCCTTCAGCCACTCTTGTCTGGAAACACCTTAGTCCTAGGTCCCTCGTTCCTGGCTCTCAACCCGCACGTGGTTACTGGAGAAAAACCCCATGCAGATGCCAGCTCTAACTCCTGGTCTCCGTCACCTGAGCCTCTAGTGTCACCCACCCGTTCTTATCCTTGACCTTGACTTCTCTCCAGGGTAACTGGCAAAGCTTCACCGTGATTCCTGAGACTTCGACTCAGCTCCCTTCGTCCTCCTGCTCAACAGAAGCCCGTGCCTCTGATTTCACTGAGAAAAAAATCAGACTCTCAGGCCTGGAATCCTTCAACTTCCCACCCTGACCTGCAGGCTCATGAAGCAGGATGTTAAAGTGGAAGTTTCGGCAGAGGTGCTACACTTTGGTGGATGTCAGATATAAAGTAGGTTGGGAGACAGACCGCCCCAGGAGCTTGCCCATTTCCAAAAGTTCATGACCAAGCAATTGTTAGATGACTCTAAGACCCACAGCATGGATAGAAAAGGATTTCTTTGGAAATAGCTGTGTTGTGGGTATACACCTTCCCCTCCTGCAAAAGAGAACAGGGTAAAGCCTGGCCTCTGCCAAAAGGAGGCTACAAGGAGGCCACCTGGAAGGCTTAGCATCCGACCCTGGGAGTTTGGTGGGTACAGTGGACAGGTGCCTGACATGCCCCTGAGGGATTTAAGGCAAAAGGCGACAGGGCACAGAGAGAACAGACTGTCAGGAGAATGAATCCCCCTTCCCCCCCATGAGGGAGCCAGAGCTCGAGGGCGCGCCTCATGAAGCAGACTGGGGGAGGGGGTCGTGGAGCCAGTGCCAGCCTGGAGCTGTTATAAATTCCCTCAGCAGCACTGCCTGCAGGATCTGGTGCCCCCAGCTGGGTGGAGGATGGAAACTCAGGAGATGAGGAGAGAGAGGGGGAAAATCCAAGATCCTGGTCATGGGAGGGGCAGTAAATGCTTCCCGTGGAGGCCACTTAAGGACCCAAAGGTAACCGGTGGAAGAGAGAACTTGAAACACCTATCAGGACCAGAAAGTAGAAAGTATCTCATGATAGTACCCATCAAACCAGGATTTTCCTGATCTCCTGACTTCTCCCTCTTGCTTCTTTTTTTTTTTTTCTTTTAAAATTTTATTTATTTATTTGACAGGCAGAGATCACAAGCAGGCAGAGAGGCAGGCAGAGAGAGAGGAGGAAGCAGGCTCCCCTCTGAGCAGAGAGCCTGATGCGGGGCTCGATCCCAGGGCCCTGGGGTCATGACCTGAGCCAAAGGCAGAGGCTTAACCCACTGAGCCACCCAGGCACCCCATCCCTCTTGCTTCATTTCTGACAGCGTATGAAGCCAGAATTATCCAGGGAGGGGGAGGAAGCATGGACACGAATGGCTGGCAATGAGATGTAAAGGAACATCTCCCCTACCTAGACCACAGTGTTCTCACCTATAACTGCCCCAAGTTGGAAAAAGAAAGGGAGACACCTTGCCTTTCAATGAACTTAGGACTTTGATTATTACCTGAGACTGGATGTTTGCAATTAGAGAACTGACACTAAATTTGCAACTTGAAGTGACCACAGAATCGATGTTGCCTAGATTTCTATTCCCAGCACAGACATCTCCTTTGAAGTTTTATTCTTGTATATTCTACAGCCTACTGTCATCTCCAATTCGTTGTTCTACAAGTTCCTTAAACTCTTTCTGAACAGGAGGCTCTTCTTAATGACAGTGGTAACTTCGTTGGAAGCACCATCATCCATCCAACCATCCATCCGTCCATCCATCCATCCATCATCCACCTATTGGTCCATCCATCCATCCATCCATCCATCCACCTGTTGGTCCATCCATCCATCCATCCATCCACCCATCCACCTGTTGGTCCATCCATCCACCTGTTGGTCCATCCATCCATCCATCCATTCATCCATCCATCCATCCACCTGTTGGTCCATCCATCCATCCATCCATCCATCCACCCACCCACCCATCCACCTGTTGGTCCAACCATCCATCCATCTATCCATCCGTCCAACCTGTCCATCTGTTTGTCTGTCTATCCACCCATCATTCCAAATGATGCCTCAGTTCTATCTTTTTCTCTGTTTGAACCATTGTGAAAATAAAGCTCAAAGATGATGGCTCATTCCCTCATTTCTCTATTTGAAACACCAAGACAACCTTGTTCAAATGGCTCTTTTCAGGGTCATTTAAGCTTCATTTGGCACAAGAGCGTCTTTTACAAATTAAATCTACCTCTATTGTTATCTCATTAGTATGCAAGAAGCGAAGAGCTCTAATCAATCCCACTACAGTGGTAAACACCTACACGAGTGGGGTCACTATAGCTATGGAGCAGACAGGCTGTCATATAGTTAGCCAGATGATCCAGAATACGTGAATGCTAATAAAAATATACATTACTAAATTTCCCAGAAAATTTATAGAGTCAAGAATATATAACTGCAATCCCCTGTCTGACCCTGGGTGGAAATACTATTCTACAAGTTAATTCAAATTCCACCTGCCTTCTTCTGATGTCTTAATTCTTCCATGCCCTGTCTCTAGACAGAATTGCTTCCACTTCTCAGCTCCCATCATGCTATTTCTTGCCTTTGCTCATGCTACTTTTTCAGCCTGGAACCACCTCCCCTCAGAAGCCCTTTCTCTATTCTAGGCTTGAGTAGATCCTTTCACTGGGGTCCCCAAATATCCAAGGTCTATCTCTATCATTGCATTTATCATAACCATCTTTTAGAGTCTCTGTATCCACTGCTAGACTGCGAGATTCTAGAGATAAGAACTGTGTCTGATTCAGCTCGGTATTGTGGGACCTACCACGAGGCCTGGCACATAGTAGGTGCTCACACAATGTTTGGTGACTGAAAGTATGGACATTACCTGCCGGTCTGCGAGATCAATCTTGTTTCCCAGCACCACCATGGGGTAGGAGGGCTCCATTGGAATAGTTTTGGCCAGAACATCACCCCGCCAGGTATCCAACGCTTCAAAGGACTCTAGGTCGGTGACATCGAAAGCCAGAATGCAGCCGTCGGAGCCTTTGTAGAATGTGGACACCATGGAGCGAAACCGCTCCTGTCCGCCTGTGTCCCAGATCTGGAGGGAAAGAGCAGCCACCCCATCAGGCCATGATGAGGGCCTGGAGGTAAGCCCAACAGGGCCACATGATGTCAAAGTTTCCTTTTCTGGGTAGGAGGCAAGACAGCCCTGGCACAGGCGCTTGGGGTCCTTCCACACACGGACATCTTCACCCTCTCACCCATGGACACCGCAGCATCTTTGCACCATCGTCTGAGCTCACTCATTTCCCCTGGCTCATCGGGACAAGCACAGTTATTCTCATCTATCGGATTTGGACCTTGGGAATGACTTGCTCAAGGCCATTTACCAAGATTTCCAGAGGACCTGAGACTAAGAGTGAGGCCTCCCAACTCCTAGATTTGTCCTTTTTCCACCCCCCACCCCCAGATCAGGGATCAGCAATTTTTTTCTTAAAGGGCCATGCTGTAAATATCGTAGGCTTTGCAGACCACACTGCGCGTTGCAACTACTCAGTTCTGCTGTAGCGGGGAGAGCAGCCATAGACTGTAAGTAAACAGCGGACATGGCTGTGTTCCAGTAAAACTTAATTTACAGGAACAGGTGGTGGAGCACGTTCAGCCCCTGAGTTGAAGTCTGCTGATCTCTGCTCCAGACCTTTGTAGCTCCTGGTGCACACTGCTCCGTGAGTGGCTAGCTAGGGAACGTGGGATGATTTCCAGCCACGCATGCTGAAGAGGGAAAGGCTGAGCTGCTCACCTGCAGCTTCAAAGTTGTGTCGTCCAGGATGATAATCTTGGAGAGGATGCTGGCCCCCAGCGTGGTCTGGTAGTCCTCATAAAATGTCTTGTGCACATACTGGTGGAGGAGGGAAGTCTTTCCTACACTGAGGACAAACCCCCAGACACATGTGAACAATGCACGTGCACGCACACACACACACACAGAGCCATACCATTCTCCGATCTTGCCATGCCCCTCCTGCTGCCATCTCTCCAAGAGTCTGAATTTCTAACACCTGCAGTCCCATGACCACAGTGAGAAGTAGGAGACTAGGGAATGGACTCGAGAAGCCAGGACCCATCCACATAAACCAGAACCCAGGCAGCCCAGCTCTCAGGCTCTTTTGCTCATCTGAGCTCTCCCTCTTCCTGGGGGTGGGATGTCCTCCTTGGTGCCACTCTGAATCAGAGAGGGACCCATGGTAGGTGGGAAATATTCAGGAGGTCTCCCTGCCCTTGGGTAGGGGCCGCTTCCCAACCCCCATCCCCTGAGCCACTCTGGGCTTACCCCAGGGCTCCAATGATGATGAGCTTCAGGTCCACCTTCTTCCGGGGATTCATGGAGGGATGTCAGAGCCTGCAGGGAAACAGAAGTCAGTTGCATGCTGGTCAGAGTCTCCGGCACCGTTGTTGTTGGGGCTGGCCTCTGCTTTCCCTTCCTTGACGTGCAGATCACTGCTCTGGGCCCAGCGAGGTGTTGTTGTTTGCTCACAGAGACAGATGATCAGCAACCCTTACGGCCCCTCACCAGCTTCCTCTTGGGGCCTCCCTGAGGCTGCAAGTGTGGTGGCCCCACAGGACAGGCACATGGCTTACCCTTCAGCTTTACCAACCCTGCTCTTGGAGGCAGCCTGGAGCGCCAAGAAGACCGGACAGGACTGAACAGAGGCCTCAAGGACAGTCAAGCCTGGGGCCAGGGATAGAGGGCAGTGTGGGAAGAGGAGATGGGGGTAGGACAAGGGGTCCATTGTCAGGACTGCCCGGGAGGCTTTAGATGGGAGCGTGCCCCTCCCCCAGCCCGAGGTGTCGCCACAATCACGGAATCAAAAAGCTCTTCTCCAATGCAGCTGGTGGGGGTGTAACTGGTACATGTTTCTGGAAAGCTACTTGGTAGCCCGTATTGACTGCCCTAAAAATGTTTCTGCCCTCCACTTCTAGGAATTTGTCCTAAGGAAATCATCTGAAATGCGGGCACAGAATCTTGTTCAAGAATGTTCTTCACAGTATTATTTATAAACATTCGACAACAAGGAAGTGGGAAGGGATGCCTGGGTGGCTCAGTCCTTGTGTCTGCTCAGGTCATGATCCTGGAGTCCTGGGATTGAGCTGCTTCTCCCACTCCCCCTGCTTGTGTCCCTTCTCTTGCTGTATCTGTCAAATAAATAAATACAAATCTAAAAAAAGAAGAAAAAAGGACGCGAGCAAATAAATCATGGCATGCAATGAACTATTAATGTGGAGTTTTGGAGAATATTATATTAATGTGGGAAAATGCTTATGCCATAGGGTCTCAAGTTTTTTTTTTTTTTTTTTTTTTAGATTTTATTTATTTATTAGAGAGAGCAAGAGCAGGAAGAGGGACAGAGGGAGAAGTAGACCCCTGCTGACCAGGGAGCCTGATGTGGAGTTTGATCCCAGGACTCTGAGATCATGACCTGAGCTGAAGGCAGATGCCCAACCAATGGAGCCACCCAGGCTCAACCTCCTAAGGTCTAAATGAAAGACAGAAGACACTGAACTGTATATATGATACCACTCCAACTATTATGAACATGAGTTCCCACTTGTATAGAGAAAGGTCTAGAAAGAAATATACAACAAATTTAAGTGGTTAATTCTGGGTGGTAGGAAATTACACAATTTAACATGTGTTCTCTGTGCTTTTTAGTATGTTCCTTTTTTAAAATAACGTGGCAAACAGGTATTATTCCTGTAAGAGAAATACATACGTGTGTGTGTGCATTTTCTCTAAACATGCGTATATTATCATCACTATTATTATTTAACAAGCTACAGCAGAACTGTCTCAGGGGGTTTGCTTAACTGGCTCTCTGGGTTCTACCCTTATAGGCGTACTTACGCAAAGAGAATCCCCGGCTCCTGAGTCTCCCATCTTTGGATGTACTCGGTAGGTGTACTGAGCAGACCTTGATCTGACTCGTCCTGGCTGAGGTGTCAGAAGAGCTTGAGTTTCCCCTGGTACTGGGAAAAAGCTCTACAGCAGATGCCCTCGGACCTTGGATCTCGTTCTCTCACTCTGCCACTGAGGGGTTTTGGGCCAGTTCCTTCCACTTTTGGAGTCTTGACTCTCCAACTGGAGAGTGGACAGGTTGGGCCCCAAAGACTCAAGGTCCCTTCTGGTTGAAACATACTTTATCTACTGGAGCTGTAACTCACTGGCCACATGGGCCCTGCCTGGGGTGCCTAGTGAGTGCAAAGCTAAAACGACGAGCCCCGGAGGCTGAGGGCTGTTCGTGTCCTTCCATGAGCCATGTCATAGCCAAAGAGTGATCTGAGGCTCTGCTAAGAGCTGCTTGTCCCAAGAGCCAGAGCTGGTGTCACTGGACCTTCTGTTATAACCTAGGAGGGTTGGGTTGGCATGGCGGGCAACAGGTCCTGGTGATCCATGACAGTCATTCCAGAAATACCTACCTGTCCCCTGCTGCAAAGCCCTGCACTAGACACAGGGAGGAGCACAAGCATGGAACAAATAGGACCTGCCCACTAGGGAGTCATCGTGGGCAAAAGCACAGGGCTGAGTGCTTGTACCAGAAAGAAGGTGTAAAACATCCTAACAGGGGCACAGAGAAAGTTCTGTGGGAATCTGCAGGTAGGGAGACAAGCTGGCAGTCCAACTGGGCCCTGAGACTTGTGGTTGCGGGGGGATATTTCAGAGGGAGGGGTGAAGTCATCAGAACTCTGGGAATAGGTGAATGGACAAGGTGGTTGGTTTGCTTCAGGGAAGGGTGAGGTGAAGGGTATGGAGATAGGAAAAAGCAGGGAGAAGCAGCAAGTTTTAAGAGGGATCAGACCAAGATTCTGTCCATTCATTCCTTCGTTCATTCAGCAAACATTCCCTGTGCTCCAGACAGGCAGAGGAAGATCATTCCAGGTATTAGTCATGGTGACATTTTGTCGTGGGTGTCACTGCCCACAGGGAAACCACCTAAGGGAGAAATGGGTCAGAAGCCGCTGAAAGGTGGCATGTCTCCAAACATCAGTTTCAATCTCAGAAGGGGAGTGAGAGCCATGGTGAGCTATTTCATAAAGGCTTTGGTACAAGATGCTAACTTAGCTTCGAAAGATAATGCAGTGCCGTAGAAAGGGAGTCAGAAGTACGGGGGGGCAGGGACAACTGGGAAAGGAACGAGCACCTGCAGACCACCTGCACGGGCTGCTCTGTGTTCTCTCAGAGCCTGGGGAATCCCCCAAGAGTCCTGTGAGATGAGTAGCTGAGACTCAGAGAAGCCAAGTCACTCATACCCCAGGTAGTATGAGCGCAAGCCAGGGTTTGAACTGAAGGCCACAGAAGGCTCCTCTGCCATGTTGCCTCCTGACCTCCTGAGTCTGGACCCATAGAATCTGCGTGCATGGGATCTGGGGTGCTGGGTTCGGGTGTGGTGTGCCCCAACCAAACCATAGCAGAGTTGGAGAAGATGGAGAGTAAAGCAGCAACATTGACAAGAGGTTCCAAATGGGAGTGGAGGGGACCAGTCTGTGGAACGAGAGCCATTGTGTGGGGACTGAAAACTAGGGTCAAGATTCGGCGCGCAGACTGGGAGGGCAATGGGTTCACACGCTGTGACAGGGCCATGCCTCCATCTTGGAGTCGTCTGTGCTCACACCATACGCTGTTTGCCCAGCATACGCTGTTCGCCCGCCACAAAGTGTGGAGGACTTTGTGGATATAAAAATACAAATATGCATCTCACGGAGAAGTTAAATGAGAGAATACATTATTATAGTACAGGTACTGCCCAAATGAAAGGTTCAAGACATGTTAGCTTTTTTATGACTCGTTAGCACACAGAAGGCGCCTGCGGGACCGACACGACCAGTCTCTATTTTACCACTAAAGAAACAGATGTTTAGAGATGGGAGGTAGTTTTTCTCTAAAAACACAGCCTGGAAGTGGTAGGGCCTGGACTGGGAGCTGGAATTTGAATCTAGGCCTACCTGCTCGTTCTATTGTCTTCCATAAGCCTAGGACAGCAGCCACTCGGAGCCCCATTAGCGAGGCTCCGGGCTGGGTGGTGTGGGTTTGACGTACGGCAGCAGAGCTGGGATACTTACGACGGGGAAGCTGGTGGTGAGGGCGGGGGAGGTAGACAGTGGGCGTGTGTAACAGAGAATCAGTAGTACTACTGGGGAAGCACCTTATAGGTAATCAAAGGTAATATACAACATAAAAGTGGGCAAGGCATAGGAATGGGTAACCGGCAGAAGGCTTATGAATGGTAAGTAGTAAGCTTTGAAAGGATACTCAACCTTACTGATTTTTAGAGACTACAAAATTGAAAAATACCCTTTTTTTTTTTTTAACCTGCCAGAGAATGGCAAATTTAAAAAGACCGACGGTTACATTTAGTGTGGGCAAATGTGCAGGGGATTTGCTATTGTATATTGTGGACAGACTGTGAATAGCATGGCCTTTTTTGGAGGGAAATTAGATAATGGCAAAATGTCATATCCCAGATTCTAATTTTAGAAATCTATCCTACAGAAATGCACCTATGTGCAAACATATCTTTGTACAAAGATGACTGCTGGAGAACACTGCTGTGACCCAGTGTCCACCGATGAGCGATTCTCTACATAAATCGTGATCCATTCAGACTTTGGAATACGAAGCGGTTTTAAAAAAAGTAATGAAGTAGAAAAATATGAGAGCAATTTAAAAAGAACATCCCTGAACATTTTGTATACTATGATCTCAGTCGTACAAAAACAACCATCTCCCGCGTGTTGACCATATGTTTAGTATTCTATTTCTGCAGGACATATGTATACCTAGAAAGCTGTGGAGAGATATTCTCCATCTAAATGATTGACAGGAGCTGGGGAAAGGCAGATGAGAAGCTGGGAGCTATTGTTTTATTTTATGTGCGTCTTGTTTTAAAAATTTGTTACATAAGGTTCTGTTGTTATGGTAATTAAACAGTATCAAATACAAAACCTTACAATTTCTTTAAAAAGAGCACATGGGGGCACCTGGGTGGCTCAGGGGGTTAAAGCCTCTGCCTTCGGCTCAGGTCATGATCTCAGGGTTCTGGGACTGAGCCCCACATGGGGCTCTCTGCTCAGCAGGGAGCCTGCTTCCCTTCCTCTCTCTCTGCCTGCCTCTCTGCCTACTTGTGATCTCTGTCAAATAAATAAATAAAATCTTAAAAAAAAAAAAAAAGACGAGCACATGGGTGGATGGCCCAACGTCATCTGAATGTGACTTCCTGACAAGATGAATCCTTGGTAGCAGGGACTGATCACGAGTTTTGGAGTCAGAGTTCTCCACACATTCGTGACCTTGGTGAACTGCTTGACCTTGGTGAGTATGTTGCCTCCTGCGTAATACGGACGTGGCTCATGGCCTTGGCTTATCCTGCAGGGCGGCATACCTCATTTCTTAGAGCAGCACAGGCTCCACCAATGGGGGAAGACCCAGATAAATGGTTAACAACCATATGGGATGGGGGTTGGTGTTAGAGACTGGAAATTGTCGCACCTGCCACTTTCCATGGTGCAGACACTCCTGCCATGGCTGATTTCAAGCCACCAGTGTGGATCCCGCCCCAGCACACTGGAGGAGGTACCTCAGAGATGTATCTAGTCCAACCCCGGCCAGTGTCTGCGCCATCTTGACGGCATCACAGCAAGACAGAACTAGAGCTGCCCCATAGAACTCCTTCCCTCCACCAGCGGTGGGTTTCTGCTGGGGCCACACAAAACATGCTCGCTCCCTCTGCCACATGCCAGGCCTTCTGAGGTTTCAAGTCTACTTCTTGACTCTTTCTTGAGTCTTTTCTTCTCCAGACCCTTGTGACTCACCATGGCCTTGACTCTGAGCTCCCTCCCCCACTCCCCACCCCAGTCCCCTTCCACAGATTTGCCCTGAAAGTGTCCCACCACTGCAGATCTCCTACCCCACCCTAAGAAGGCAGAATTTCCTGAGCTGGCTTTTTACAATAGCCTGGTCCTTGACTGAGGATAACCAGCAGGAACAGGAGGGTGACCAGGACCGTATCACTAGCAAGGGAAGGCGGGTTGGCAGAAGACACTGGCTGGGCTCACCAAGGAGGCATGGGCAGATTTCAGATGGTGGCCAGTCCCTTCCCATGTCCTCTGGGCTCTGCCCTTGGCCGGAGTTTGGCAACAGCTGTCCTTTTGAGCCTCCTCCCACTCCCTCAGCTGCCTCGGATGCTTCAAACCTGGACATCCTCTTAGAGTTCAGGCTGAGTCATCACCTTCCACTGTTAAGTAACAGGGAAAAGCAGGCTTGGGAGGCAGAGCCCTGCCTCCAGCCAGCCCTGGTCCGCCCAGAGCCAAGTGTGCGGGGACTCACTCTCTACTGCACGTGACTAACTCTTCTCCCCTTCTTGCCTGGCATCCCTTCTAAGCCTGGAGCCCTGGTTGCCCACCAGCCAAAGCTATGGTGTAGCCCAGTCCCTGGGGAGCAAGAAAGAGGGGGTTGATGCCCACCCCACACCCCGCACGCCCCAACAGCCTGGGGCTCGGGGCCAGCCTTACAAGAACTCCTGGATCTGTTCTCCTCTCACCCTCACACTTCCCTTCTCTCCCTACCCAGCTGGCCCCAATCAGGACCCAATTACAATCTCCTGAGTCGCTGGTGTTGGGTGGGGTGTCATTTCCGCGGACTAGGAGACCAGTGAGCAGGGGCAGATGTGAATTCCGAAGCAGACAGTCTCCCCACCTTGTTCCTATTGCCTCACCGCACCCTCACTGCCTCAAACCGATAAATATATCTGCCTTAAAAATAATGGGATTTAGGATCAGGGGAATAAAGTTTGTGTTTGAAAGAATGCTATCTATGGAGTGAAAAGCTTTATTGCCTTGAGGGAAGGCTCGTGACTCTGCTTTGCCCTCCTAAATCCCAGCAGGTCTAGACCTGCTCCCTTGTGTACTCATAGGCCTGGTTTCAGGAGGCTTAGCAAGTTCCTGAAGTATTGGTCCTGTCTCGTTAAGTAGGCTGTCAGTGCCCAGAGGACAGGACACTGCCTTCCACTTCTCTATCCCTCCATAGAGCCTAACCCATGCTGGGAATAATGAATCTTCAATAAATAATCAATTCACTCATTTCCATCCATCCATCCATCCATCCGTCCCTCCATCCATCCGTCCATCCATCTAGCACAGTATCAGCACTGTATAGATCTGAGGCTAGAGACAAGTCACTATGTCTATGGGACTTCTGTGATGGGGCATCGGCTGACAAGCTCAAATTATTTTTATTAATGCATAATGCCTTGCAATTATAGGGCACTTGGCAGTTTACAAAATGCCAGAACCATCCAGTGGGTTCCTGAGTCAAAAGCAACGAATTAGTGGCAAGCTGAGACTAGAATTCAGAGCTGTCCAACTCCGTTCATTGCTTGCTTAGCACTGCAGAGCTGTGCCGGGAGACACAGTCTTGATTTAGAACAAGAAGGACGCTTTCCTACTCTAGGAGCTCCTAGATCCCCGATGAGATCCACTGGCCAGCAGGTTCCACCCAAGAAGGTGCCCTGTCGATGTGGCAAGGCGACCCAGGGCGTTAGCTGGCCTTCCTCTACTGAGCCAGCAGCTGTATCCTCCCGCTGAGACGGATGGCCCGTGCAGAGCCCTGAGCCGGGCCCCAGCTCCCTGGGCTGGGCGGGGAAGTCCTTTCTGCCGGGCTCGCTGCCAGCCCGAGACGTTTCTCTGGCATGGAGTGGGGGTCTTTGGGTTGGATCTAAGCCCTGCAGCTGCCAGATTCTAAGCCTCATCCTCGCGTGCCTTGACTCTCCCCCCCCAACCCCAACCCCAACCCCAAACCCCAGTACCTCTGGGGGTTGCTGGGACAGACAGAAGAACCGAAAAGAACTTCCAGGGTGCTCACAGCTGTGGCTGCTTAGCATCCGGCCTCCGAGGGCGGGCAGCGTTTCTCTGAGTCCAGGGGTCTCCTCTTAGAGCAAAGATCTCAGCCGGTTCAGAGGAAAAAGGCTTTGGATCAGAATGGCTTGTTGAGGCCAAGCGACTTCCTTCTGTTTTCCTCCTCTCCCTCTCCTGCACAGACTTGGGAAAGTTGCAAAAGAGGCCGCCCCAGGTGAGCTCAGCTGCGTGGGTGGAGGGGGTGGGGTGGAATGGGAAGCCCGGCTTCAGAGCTCCCTCGGTGGGGTGGGCCCTGTGAGAATTGAGTTTACAGGATGATGGCCCCCGAGGGTGGGGCGGGGGGAGGAACAAGGGATGGGAGGCTCCAGTGTGGGAGCCTGCGGGTCGGAGCCTGCCGGGAAACACACAGGTTTGTGGGCACCGTGCAAACCCTCCGGCTGGTTTAGGAACCTCTGCCGGGGCAGCTGGGAGCCCTCCCAGGAAGGGAACCTTTTCTCTGTGGAAGGATTGGATTCCCATGTGCAGCAGATTTAGTCCCACCAGGAGCCTGGCAGGGAGATGTCCTCACGCCTTGTCCTCACCCTAGTGCCGTCTGTCCACTGCACTGCACCACCAGGGCACCGCACACCCGTGCACGCGCGCGCACACAACACACGCATGCACGCACACAGCACCCTGTCCTGCTTAGGATGGGGAGGCAAGTCCTGACATCTCCCTGCGCTCTCAGATGAAGGTGTGCGTCTCCACCTGAAGTACTTAAAGAGACTACAGTAATTTTCAGCACTGTTAGCACGTGGCCGAGTTTGGTATTCCGTGGAGCTGTTGGAACCATGCCCTGGGTAACCACGGCTGGCAGATAAAAGGGGAATAAAGTGAGTTTAGACAAGCCTGCATTAAATGGGTTCCCAGCTCCCCGGGGCTCTCCTTAAGGCTTGCAACACATTCGATGGCGCCCTCTGGCCCCACGTTCCTTCCTTCCTAGACGGGCTGTTTCCTCCCTGGTGGGCTGTCCCTTAGTTTCATGGTCCTCACTCTGCTCATTCTTCCTCGCCCGTTGATCCTCTGGCCCCGCCCCTTTGTTACTGTCTGTGTCTGTCCTGTCCGCAGGGCTCCCATTCTGCAGAGGCAGAGCCAGTAACCTTGAACCCCACACCTTGCCACACGCAGCACCAGGGACCGGCCTGGGTAAGGAGTTTCCAGTGGGACAAAAGCTCAGGCTGAAGCTCAGGCCCTTGTTCGCGTTAGCATACGCGCCTGCAGGGAGGGCATGTGGATCTCCCCGAAGGTGGATCTCCCCGAAGCTCCCTAGCGGACAGGAGGCACCTCCCGAGCACGTTTACGCATCAAATTCTGCTTTGTTTGCCTGGGAAAGGGCGCATCCATCCACCCTCCGGAGGACCCCGGTGTAGGACATCTCATTTGTTCTTACGCGGCTGCTCTTTAGAATCTATCGGCCCCTCCCCGCCCTACATTCTTCTACTTTTCTGAGACTAGGTTTTATTTTTTCTATTTTCCTTTTCTTGTTCTTTTTTTTTTTTTAAGTTAAATTTTAGTTACTTAACATGCAGTGCCATATTGGTTTTGGCAATAAGAGTTCCTGAGACAAGGTTTCCAATGGATGTGTGTGTGAGAGAGAGAGGGAGTATGGGAACGAGGACGAACCCCCGCAGAGCGAGGAGACATACGTGAGCCTCTTGGAGAGAACACGTAAAAGTCACCAACCACAGGGTCTGCCGTTGTGGGTGCGTTCGGGGAGGGGAAGTGAAGTCCCCTTACAGTCTCTGAACATAGGAGTGAAACTTAGACTTTCAGGGGATGTTTGCAGAACCGTCCTTAACACCTTTGAAAGCCACCGTCAGGCTTTAGTTCCCACTTTTTCTGTCCGCATGGATCAAGGGTCAGCAATGTTCCTTCTCTTCCTCTGACACATGCCACAGTGGAAAATGGTGACCGGCCGCCTCTCCTCTGCAGGGGTGGCCCTGACCCTGCCTTCACGGAACTTCCTTCCTTCTTTCCCTCTTGCTTGCCTTCATCCAGTCATCTGAGTATGTCCAGCCCTTTGGAGCACAAGACGAGCACTTGATCAGTGGAATTAAGACATGGTGCTGATAATGCTTTAAGAAATGCACCTACGGCGGCACCTGGTGGCTCAGAGGGTTAAGCCTCTGCCTTCAGCTCAGGTCATGATCTCAGGGTCCTGGGATCTAGCCCCGCTTCGGGCTCTCTGTTCAGTGGGGAGCCTGCTTCCCCCTCTTTCTCTGCCTGCCTCTCTGCCTATTTGTGATCTCCGTCTGTTGAATAAATAAATACAATCTTTAAAAAAAAAAAGAAGAAGTGCAGCTATGGAGTTGTGAGAATTTAGAGGATTTAGAGGAGGAAAAGGCTTTGTGGAAAGGAGGGACTGGAATTGGAGCTTGAAGGATGGACAAGATAGGAACATGCGCAGATTGTGACAAGCAGAGGAGGGAGACAAGTTCAACATAAGAAGAGATCAGTGGATGGAGGGAAGGAGGTGCCGACTGTCTGCTTGGCAGGAGAGAGTGCAGAGAGGAGGCTCCGAGTCAGGGCTGACCACGCAGGACAGTGATTTCAGCCTGGTTTCTCCAGGCACCGTGTCTAACGTCTCTTCACCAGAATTTTAACAATTGTTGTAAAAGGGATGATTTTGCGGAAACTGCTCCTCTGTAAACAGGATAGAAGGGTTCCTTGGAGCAGAAGTGTGTGAGTGAGAAAATGGGGACGGTTTGGATCCAGAGTAGAACAGTTGTGAGAGGAGGACAGGAGGTCAAACTGAAGCACGGCCCTAGAGAGCCCTCATATCAGCTTGGATTCCATCAGCGTGCAGTGGGACAACTGGGGAGTTGGGACCATGGGGAAAGTGTGATTCCAGCTGGGTTTCAGAAGTGTGTGTGGAAGGAGGAGAGACCAGACTCAGAGCATCATGACGATCTTGAAATACACCTGGTGAAAGGTAATGACCAGGGATATGGAGACAAGGAAACAAGTTGTAGAGGCAGTTTTGTGACACAACCAACATGGCAGGGCGCCTGGGTGGCTCAGTTGGTGAAGTGTCTGCCTTTGGCTCAGGTCATGATCCTGGGGTCCTGGGATGGAGCCCCATATCAGGCTCTCTGTTCAGCGGGGAGTCGACTTCTCCCTCTTCCTCTGTTTGCCATTCCTCCTGCTTGTACTCTCTCTCTGTCAAATAAATAAATAAAATCTTAAAAAAAAAAAACACAAAACAACCAACATGACTGTTGTGAAGATTCAATCCCTGACTGTTGGGTCATTCAGCTGCTGTCACAGGGGTCCTCCTGCCCAGCCAGCCCTGAGCCGGGTGCTACGTGTTCAGTGGGCAAAAGGAATTCTTTTTTTCCTTTTTAATAGACTTTATTTATTTATTTTTGAGAGAGAGAGAGAGAGAGATGGAGAGAGAGAGAGCGCGCGCACGCACTGTGAGTAGGGGAGGGACAGAGGGAGAGAGATTCCCAAGCAGACTCCATACCCAGTAAAGAGCCTGATCTAGGGCTCAATCCTGCAACTTGGAAATCATGACCTGAGCTGAAATCGAGAGTCAGATATTTAACTGTCTGAGCCACGCGGGTGCCCCGAGCTCTCAGTAAACCTAAATTACCACGGGAGACGTGCTGCTGGAGTAGGAAGGAGCGCGGGCAGATGGAGGGATGAGCTCGGGTCAGGCTCTGCTCCCTGAGCCTGCGGAACAGCGGGGATGCCGATGCCCTCACTGAGAGCGGAAACAGAGAGCTGGGAAGGGGATAGGGGAGCTTCTGTTTTGTCTAAACTGAGGCTGAGATGCCAGCAGGATGTCTCCGTGGCACCAGGGACGTGTGGTGCCGGAAGGTCTGCCGGGGCGGGCTCTCCCTGTCTTGTGCATGCTTTTGTCCCCAGGCCATGGCATAGCCAGGGGCTCATGCTCAGTGCTCGGCCCTGAATCCCCCCCCCCCAACCCCACCCAGGCCCAGCCCCTGCCCTTCTTCTCACTTCCCGCCAGAGCAATTCTGGTGATGGCTCTTGCCGTTTTCCCCGTCTCAAATCCACCAGCGCTGCCACTGCGGGTCTCGGGGCCTGCAAGCAGAGCGCCAGGGCAGGAGAAGCAGACACGGGGCTGCATCTGGGCTGGAAGATGGGCAGAGCCCCTGGCCTCCCCAGCAGCCTCCTGGGGAGGCCAGAGACATCAGAAGCGCAGGGACTCCATGCCCGCGGGCAAGACTCTGACCAACGGGGACAGGAGAAAGCAGAAACCTGCAGAGAGTTCACGCTCACCTGCCCCCCTGCCACCTGGTCATGGGACCTTTCTGAGGTGCACCCGGTCCCCACGGCCTTGTGGCGATGTCTGGGGAAGCGAGCAGCACAGGAGCTTGTTGCAAATGTGGCGTCCGCTCAAGTCACCTTCTTGTACGTTTTCCTTCTGTCTCTTCCTCACTGCCCTTTGCCCACTCTTGTTTCCTCCACATTGAACTTCCCAGTAAAATGTTAAATAGAAGCTTCTGACTCAGGAATGAAAAAAAAAAAAAAATTCCCTGTTAGGGAACTTGGGCCAGGATAGGGTTCCACAAATACGTGGTGGGTACACGGGGGCGTTAGAGGGCTCGAACTCCGGTTACACCGCGCAGGGAACGACTGAAGACCGAAGACTTCACTGGAAAAAGTCGGACATTTGCAAACCGTCTGCTTGGAAAGGTCAACACGGGGGTTGTGTCCGTGGCTCAAACCCGCGCAAGAGGCACCTCATCTCCTAAGGGAAGGGGAGAGACAGGAGAGAGAGGAAGGCTGAGGAGGAACTGGAAACATGCTCACATTTGAGAAGCAGGAGAAAGAAAAAGATCCCAGCCGCAGGCCTGCAGAGGCAGACGCCACTGGTGTTCATTCAGGCCCCCCACACGTCAGGCCACCCTGCAGATAACGTGTAGCCAAGGGTTACGGTTGAGCTGGTGGACAGAACCGTCCACCAGACAGAGTTCCCGCCTCATGGAGCTCGAGTTGAGTAGACGTGGGGGAAATGTCCTGCTGGTCCCGTCGCCTCCTTCAGATCTGGTGTGTCAGCGGGATCGGCCGCCCTCCTTGTCTGTGGGACACAAAGAATGACCCTGAGGTCCTAGGGCTGTGGGAACCACGAGACAGAAGGGATCC